TACTACTCTTCTCTCTCCTCCTCTCTCTCTCTCTCTCTCTCTCTCTCTCTCTCTCTCTCTCTGTATGCGTGCGTGAGAACCTCTAACCAACCATTCCTAGTTAGGTTACTGATCTCCGTGAAAAGGCTCCGGTTCAATCTTTTGTCAATCAAAGTAATTGAAATTTACCTTTCGTTCCGTTAATTCTAAACAATTATTCTATCCAGCAAATTATAGATTAGAAATTCTTAGAAGAAAATTGAAATGACGTACTCTTGATACTTTTGGAAAAAAAAAAGAAAAATCTTGTATTACCTGCGAGTTAGTTCAAAATGAATTTGTGTGGTGAATGAAATTATAGGTAAAATAAAAAAAAAAAAAAAAAAAAATAGAAAGAAAGAAAGAAATACGTTTCAATCGCAGGCAGAACTGTATTTTGCCCTTCGATGCATCCTGAAACAAAAACGAAAAGGATTCAAACGATCCCTCGAATCTTTAGCGTAAAATCATAATCGTAAGAGTGTAGAAAAAGCTATCTTATTACAATAAATTCTGCACATAAATTAGATACGAAATTGATTCTATGATATTTTTCACCTTATAACGATGAACGTATCCCCGCAAATAGGTGTGATGAAAGTGATAAAAGAGAACAACACCAACAGCAACGACAAGTCACTGCAATTTTTTTTTTTTTTCCTTTTATTATTAATCTTTATTTCTTACACTACGAGTGTGTTAAGTGCTCCTGGTAAGCGTCTAAGTGGTTCAATTTCTTTTCATCCTCTCAAAACGTAACACGGGAAATTGATTTTGATCGCCTGGTGATCGATTTGTGCTAATTTATTTGCTTCGCCTTTGTCCTCGACCGCCCACGTTTCTTCTTTTCCGAAAGGAGGAGGAAGAAAAAAAAAAAACATCTTTCCTTTTGTTTTTTTTTTTTTTTTTTTTTCGAATTCGAACAACGTGCTACATCAAGGCGACGAGGGATAAAAAGTTACGAACGTGTCAGCCGCATTCGTGCTCGAGATGATTTCATGCGTGAAAGAAGACAAGCTGAAGACAAACGTACTGTTTATTATTCGATTAATTAAAAGAAGAAGAAAAGAATTAATGAAATGGAAGAAAAAATATAAACGAGTTTTATATCTAAAAAAAAATTAATTACCAAACAATTTTCTTCAAAATCATGTTTCTTCATCTTCTTGCTCCTTTGCTCCATATGATCTTCTAATAAATCGATTTCAATTACAATGGAAGCGACTGCTAAACTGATTATTCATTCGAATGGAATTTGAATGAAAAACACATGTGTGCACATGCAATAATTGTAATCACGATTGATGAACGCATGAAACATCGGTCGAACAGGAATGTTTCGCGGAGCGTGCGAGAAAGTTTCGAATCGAGAATGAAATTTCATTTCGTCGAGGTAAAAAGTGACTATTCGCGCGTGATTATTCCATTCTTCCTCCATATGATATACAGACTAGATATTACAAGAAGGAAAGCCGCCTGCCTGTACATAAGTGTTCGCGGAAGCTTTTCTTTTTCTCTCTCTTTTTTATTTTTTTTTCCTTTTTATTTCCATTTTATTACTATTATCGTTTCTTTTGTCTTTCTTTCGTCTCTCTCTCTCTCT